TAGCATATATATCATAATAACACTACCTGTATAACATTTTCGCTTAATACATTCCATTCTGTACATGACCGCCTAAACCATTGTGGAATTGAAAACGATTTATATGGAAATTTGTGACAGGGTAACAAAAGTGATCTTAACAAACAGGAAATCCAAACTCCTATTAAACATACAAGAAATTCTTAGCATATAGCAAACAAAACCGTTGCGTTAAGAAGTATAATACTATACAGATAAATAAATACCTAATATTGATTTGGCACCAACTACATCTATTGATAATAAGGTCGCAAAAGAGAAGCGAATATTTCCATCAAAATGAAACAATCAAGCAATGCAGCCTAGAAGCAAGTAAAAGAGTCCCAATGTCTTTGACTTCGAGGCTTCGTTCATGCTTGCAAGCTGAATCTAAAAAGTGGGATTGATTCAATAACGAAGATGCTCGAAGATTAACTGTACAGAAATATAACCTTCCTTGAGGAAAGTCTGCTTATTTTGTGGCCAACGTAGATGGACAACCGAAGAGCAGAATCTTTAAAAATAGTGAACATAAGCAGAGCTATGCAGGTTTACTACGCTGGTGATTTGTGGAAAAACCCAGTAATCGTGGCCAATTTATAAAGGAATTATCATAGTTTCTTTGGCAAGTTGTAGGTCTTCTTGAGGAATTTCGAAGACGCATCATCGTTTCGATAGCACAAAACATGAAGAAGTGTGTTTGGATCAGATGGACTCCACTGACCTGAAGTTGCAGGTAATGGGAGTTTGGATTTGACAGATGAACCGTATGTCTCTAGAGTCAAACGTCTGAACCGCTCAATAATGGTCTCTGTATCTGTTCGCAGAAGTGGAAGAACATCTCTCGCTGTAGCTGAAAACTTATTGATTACGTCCATTGGCAACCCATCGCCATTTGCCCATAAGAGATGTTTAAGGGACTTAAAGTCATCTTCAATTATTTGTGAATCTAAACAGACAACTTTATCCATACATCACTTAATGGAAAACCAACCAAACAGCCCCAAAACCCGATTTTTTGGTTTTGGAAAATAGTCTGTTATAACACTTCGGACATTCTTGACGTCCCCAAAACCCGATTGTAGTGTCAATTCGATTAATTTACACATCAAACATCTTATTAAGTTTGACTTGTTCAAATCCCCAATTACACCACTCAAACTCAAATCACACCTACCAATCTGACCAATTCACACCTCAAAATGCGACCAATTTTAACTTATCGCTCAATTCAGTTGGACTAAATCTAATAAGCCTCCATAATTTTCAAAGTCAAAACAATATTTGGTTGGATTTCATGACTTCTAAAACATCAACTGGTGCTACCTCCTGCAATTAAAACCATATGTAAGATATTGAGAGTGAAGTTCCTTTGGAATTAAGAAATTAGATCTTTGATTGTGAACTTCACCAAAAAGATATCGAACTGATTGTTCACTTGAACAATATAGAGACACTACAACAAAATCGGGTTTATAAGACACTCCCAAATTCTAAGCGTCCTAATAGACCTCTTTATAGGACTTAGTTTATAGGACCAAGAAAATAAAGTGTCCCATCTAATGTGTTGTATTAAGTTTATATGACGTTTTTTGATGTCGTAATAAGTTTTTTAAGACACTTTTAATATAAAGCGTCTCATCATCAACTTTATAGGATACTATTTGAAAAATGTCATATAAAGACAAGTGTCCTATTAAAAAATTGAGTTTATAGGACAATTTCTCAAAAGTGTCCTATAAAGTTGCTAATGCGACACTTTGTATTAAAAATGTCCTTAAAAACTTGTTAAGACGCCCAAAAGCGTCATATAAACTTATTACAACACCTTTAGATAGAACGCTTTATATTTTGGTCCWATAAATTAAGTCCTATAAAACGGTCTATTGGGACACTTAGAGATTGGGGGTGTCATATAAACTTAATTTTGTTGTAGTGATAAAAGAGAATGGAGCATAGAGAACCGAGTGTATATTGGTATATATGATAGTCTAATACTCACTATGGTTAATTATATCCAATACCCTTTTGAAACTGATCAAGAGACATTCACAAACAATCCATGCATGTTCATAGTCGAGAATGTTACTCGACAAACAAGCCAAGTAAAAATCTACTATCTCACTTAGTGGGTAAGAATCTCGGTTATTGCCATGTTTTTTACATGGTAAAATCATCGGTGTGTTGTCATGCACTCATGCTCATTCGTTGAGATAAGTGACTCGAGAAAGACTTACCAGTTTAAGAGTTGCTTAATGAAAAATATACACAGATGTTAACATCCTGGGAGGTTAAATTGGATAAAGTCAACAGAAATATAGTATCAGAAAATATATATAACGTGACATTAGAAAAAACACCTTTCAAGGACACATGGAAATGGGTGTATTATAAAGTAAACGAGCATTTTGCTTGGGTAGGAGAAATACCTCCATCATGATTTTATTATTGTTATGCTTTGGTCAGCAGTTGCGAAGGAAAGGGAAATAAACATTGAATAAAATCTTCATCACTCATTCCTGAACCTGTAAATAAAAGTTTTTTTTAATCGTTACATCATCAATATATATAGTATATGTGTGTATATATATATTGATATTGTTAGCTATGTGTACATAATGTATAGTTGAGGGAAGCTTCAGTTAACATTTATTAAGCCATCACTTCATTTTTCATTGTCTTGCAAGATGGCTTGGCATTCTCCAAAGGACGCCATGCCATGGGTGGGATTGTATGTTGCTGTAGCATCTCTTATTTGCACTCTTGCAATGGCTGCCGATGCCTTCAGAGGTTTTCGACAACGGAAACTTTGGTTTCCTTGCAAATTTTTCAACATCGATGCTGCATCCATCACACTTATAGCAATAGCAATGAAGCTACCAGTGGATCTAACAACCGATATGCCTGATGATAATTATCCGTTCGTAAAGTATCTAAGCATTGGTTTCTTGTTCACCATGTTAGCTAACTTTCTCCCATCTTTAGGGGGTGACGGATGCCGAGTCCACCAAATAATAAATTCCAACTAACGACTAATTACAACCAAAATTGTAGTAGTGTAAGTCGGGTCGAATCCACAGAGACTCGGTCTAACGTTATACGACTAGCGAATCAAGTACACGATGAAAACGTAAAAAAAAAACTAATAATCACGAAGGGGGGGGGGGTTGGATTTGATTAATTACTCTAAAAATGCGATAAAATATAAACTAAAACAATTGATTAAAGTCCCAACATCGATTTAATACCGGTTAAGATGTTAGTGCCTATCATCGATTCCAAAAATGTAAACGGAAAGGACAAGCCCGAGTTGGCTTTAATCGTTAACAAGCTCTAACGACTCACATTTTCTATAGATAATCGTTGATTAAAATAAGCTCTCTAATCAACCCTTAACCACAAATACAAGTTTAAATAAGCTCTTAAACTCATAGATGCGACTAGCTTTACCGGACTAGAAAAAAAAGTACCAATTCAAAGCCATAAGCTCACAAGCTCGGCTTATTTGCGAGATTTCAAATATTCAATCCGGAAACCTTATCGAAACCAAATCAATACTAGTGTTACTCTATCAAAATTCTAAGACGATTACGTATCTAAGAATTCTGAATAACCATTCCATAAAAGAATTCTAATCAGTTAGCTAGACCAATTGAAAACCCAAATATGATAAACATTCATTTCAGAAATCAAGCAAAAAAGCTTGTTCAAACATGTTTACAGTGAAACCTCAAAGCAATAACAAATCAAAACCTAATTAAGGGGGTGTTTGGGATTGCTTATTTTATCTGCTTATTGACTTATTTCAGTCTGGCACCGGTGATAAGCTAATACCTAGTGTTTGGATAAGAAAAAAGAAAATTGCTTATACCGGTGCCAAACCGGTAATAAGCAGTTTTTGATAAGTTAATCCGTCCTGACTTATGAAAAACTGCTTATTACCAGTTTACCATTTTAACCCTATTACCCTTTATATCTATCTTTTTTCCTCCAGATAACATCGATCTCAATCTTCTCCCTTCTCCATATAACAACATCAATATTCTTTATGTCCCTTTTGATCATTTTACAGATATAAGCAAAATTTGCCAAACACTAAAAAACAACTTATCAGCTTATTGCAGTTTGGTACCGCTGTAAGCTAATCCAAACACTTTTTACAAAACTCCAGTTTGATACCACATAAGTTAATAAGCACTTTTACAAAAAAGCATAAGTTGTTTTAAATAAGCAATCCCAAACACCCCCTAAATCAATGTTGGAATGAACAAATTAGCAAGACATTTGCTAAACTAGGTTACTGATTCTAAAGGTTTTGGATTTACCGTAAGAATAAGGAAGATTGATGAGGAAAGTTGCTGTCTTCACTCTGCATCCGTCTTCTCCAATTGAACCCACTGTCGACTTCTTCAATCGCTCCCGTGTGTTCCTTCTTCTCCAATCGAACAGCCCCCTGCTGTCTCTGTCTTCTTCAATCGAACAGCCACCTGCTGTCCTCGCTGTCCCCTTCAATCGAACAGCCGACTGCTGTCCTCGTTCACTCTCGCCTTCACTCGAACAGCCCCTCTCTTCTCCGGTCCAAAAAATCCATCGAACCAGCCCCTCTCGTCTTTTATAATGAACCAGCCCCTCTCGTCTCTCCCTCAATCGCGCCCACGTCTTCTCCGAATCAAACCCACGACTTCTCCCGCTTCAAACCCCACGAACTAGCTCCCTCTCGCCCACGAACTGTTGCCGTCTCCTCCCTCTCACGTTGCTTCTGGCCGATCCAAAATTGGGAGAGAATATGGGCTTTATTTGGGCTTGATGAAGTCCACAAAACATAGTTCACAAGTTGGGTTTATGTTTTCCTTTTTCGGTTGGACTCTATAAACAAAAAAAACATAGGTTAAGTAAATACATTTATTCATACAATGATGTAAATAATAGGCTTTTTAATTTTAATTTTTTAAACAAAAAAATATAGCTACCGGAGGTATGGATGACAAGAAACTTTTGATGAACATCATTGCCTTGGGTATTCTCATCATCACCATTATTGTAAATATATGCATCAAAGAAACTCCTATTTGGCTTCCATATTTCATGATGGAAATATCTGTCTTTATATTTCTCCTTCTATGACTATTTTGGGTAGCTTTGACAGTTTCAGCATCCAGAAGAGTTTTAGAACACCAGTACAAGGAGTTGCACAGATCGGCTTTAAATCGCCAACAAATAAACTTCTCTTCCTCTGAACTCCTAAATCATATTAAAAAGTATTGGATGATGGCAGAAACCGGTAACCCCAATTTGTGCTCGCTTGTTCACCCTTCTGTTCTGCTTCTAGATTGGTATGCTCATTATTTGTTGTTCTTTCAATTTACCAGTTGATGAGTCAGTATGATGATCTACCAAATTTTTGGGATGGAAAATCATATTATAGGTGGTCGATCAATGTAATTCTAACCATGCAATCAATTGGGGTTGTAGTTGGTAGCATTGCGCCAATTTTTTGATGTATTACTACTGCCACTTATTTCAACCTCTCCAGAAAATGGAGCATCAACCATCTAAACATGTTCAGAGTTGAGAAACATTGGACACAAAGGCTTCAACATTGGAAACACAACCACGTCCGCTCACATATCCCGGGCCGCCATGGCAAAAAACTTTTCAATAATGTCAAAAACATGATTTTGAACTTTTGTATAGCACTTCAAATAACGGTTGTGGTTTTATGTAAAACAATATGTCTCATTCCTAGGTTTTTAATGATCTTATTATCTTCTTGTTGCTATATTTGCAACGCATTGTTGAAAAGGTTTAAAGCATCTAACAGCAATACGAGATCAGAAATTGAAGAATATACTAGTTATGTCCTGCAAATTGAAGAGGAGGCGAAGCTTTCAAACAGAATGTTGAGAAATATTCTCGGATCTATAGCTAAACTTGTTCACGAGTCTGAAAAGAAACAACCAAGATATTTATTAAAGTTCCTAGAGAAATCAATAGGATTCAATGGAGTAATAGAGTTCGACAATGACCAAGTTCCACCTTTACATCCAGAAGAAACCCACAACTGCTGGAGCCTAGTAGCAGTAACATTAACAGCCGTCGCCCTTGCACTTCCTAACATTGGAAATGGCCATGTTAAGGCCTTACTTGCTAGCTTGAGCGAAGGCCTCCAGTTTGTTAGACAAATTGAAGAAACTCTCGACGCAAACGGTGACTTGAAAAAGCAAAGAAAAACAGCAACACACATATGGACTGAAGTAGAAATATACTCCACTTGGCTACATGTTGATCTTCAAAAGAGGGCTTGTAAAGAAAAAAACATCAAAGGAGATTCTTCGA